AAAAAAAAAAAAAAAAAAAAAAAAAAAAAAAAAAAAAAAAACTCTAAAATCATGTATTAGTTCATATTGATTAACTTAATAATATACAATTCTACGTCAACTCAACAGCTTTACATTAATTTATTAATTGAATATATAGATGCCGTCAGTGGTTCACTAGTTTTTTATCTTATTATTTTTTTATATTATTAATTTATACATTAATTTAATAAAATTTCACCTCGTAGTCTTTAAAAAAAAAATCACCTCGTAGTTAGTTTTAAAATCAATACTTCAAACAATTATTATTTTATTCCCCTCTTTTTTCTAAAGAGTAAAAATACATTTTAAAACCATGAAAATGCAAAACAAACTATAAGAGGGAGACAATTATATTAAGACTCGTTTACTTCGTTGATTCGAGTTTTTAATTTGAGTTGAGATGTAATTTTATGTGAGAGTTTTTACTGTAATAAAAAAGTTAGATGTGACTGTTTTTAAAATTTTTTACCGTGTAAAATTCAAATTGGTGAAATGAACGGACATTAATAACTTGAATATCAAAGGAAAATAATTGTATATTGGGCTCCACAAATGAAAAACTTCAATAAAGATAAACTAAAGATTGAACAAGTGTATCATAGCCTTTGATGGAAAAATCGAATCAAGTCATATCAAAAATCCCGTAGCACTAATGTCACATAAAAACCATAAAGAAACATATTTTGTGCATGAAAAACACAGCTAAATACTAACAAAATAAAAATAGAAATACAAACTAATTGACCTCCGACCTAGACCACTTATTTGTTTCTTCCGACTAGTTTCTATTTTTTAGGATTAGGATTAGGAAGGATTTTCATGCCTCTCATTTTTATTAAAGTAAGAAGAAGTTGAAAATGAATAATTAAGGGCCGTTTAGTAGTGTTTACAAAATAGTTTTATTTTTAGTAGGAATGTGTAAATGAAAATTTTTTGCACATAGTGTCAAGACTATTTCTAAATTTGTGTTTAGTTATTTTTTTCAATTGATTATTATGATTATTATTATTTTGAATCTGGGAGATTATTTTGGGTCTAAGAAAAAAGTGAAATTGTTGAGTATGATTGTGAAAACATGTATTCTGTTATAACTTAAGAAAATGAAAATGTGAAAATAAGTTTCAATTATTTTTCATTTCCTTATATAAACAGCTCTCAATTTTCTTTTTCATTCATGTTTTTGAAACATTTGCTAACCAAACACTATTTTAATTTTTTTTTTTTTTGTATCTTAAAAGACATACAGAAACATTTCCAAAATAATTAGAAAATCATCAAACAATATCTAATTGTTTAACACGTTATATTTTTTCGACGTCAGTATTACATTGAATATATATCATAATATGCTTCTCACTTCTCTATATTACAGGGTATATATATATATTAACATTTCTACTTTTTTTCTTTTTATTTTAATTTCCTGAATTTCTAAAACTTAGCAATTGATGAAACTCCCAATAATTAGACACACGTGAGTTTTGAAACTTCAAAATGTAGCCAAAGAGGGGAAAGGAAAAGAATAGTTGAAAACTAGGCCAATGGAAAGCAAACAAATATAATATTCAAAGCAAATGGCTTTTATTCATTTTAGCTTTTGTAATAATGACACTTTGATCTCACTAGAAGTCATTGGGTTATTGATTATGATCAAGTAACGGTAATGATAATTAGATAAATCCAATAAAGTTTTTCCTTCACAAAATTGACCTCCAAAGAAACTTAAGCCACAGGCATGCCAGGACGAGGGTTATGAAAAATTTAAAATTATTTTTCTTTGCTCTAGAAAAAAAAAAAATTTATTTTAAGGAATAAAATAATTTGGGAGGACAATTTTTTCCCAATTCCTTTTGATAATTTCTATATGCCCTTTTCATAAAAATTTAGCACAATGTTTGAAAGGAACAATCAAGTGGAAATTTGCAAACGTTGTGAAGATTTTAAATTTGAGAGGGACAGGACGGTTTTGAGACATCAAATTTGTTGCGCACTAATCAATTTGGTTGCTAGATGTCATAGTCACACCCCCAAAACTTGCGTTTTTAAGATTGTATAAAAGGAAAAAGGAAAAAGGAAAAATAAATACAAATAATATGCTTCTATAATTGAGTCTTTTGTTTTAACATATAATTTGATTTATATTTATCTAACAAATATGAATTGCTTGAATTATTATATTATGATATGTAATCTATGTGCAAAGCTTAACATACGAAATATATACACACACACACGTGAATATTTATGGAAACTGTTACTAAAGTATGTTGAGAGAAGGATATGTAATTAAATCCAAAGAAAAAGTTAGAAAAAAGCATTAAGGAGGTTACAAGCTCGATCCTAACTATCAAAGATCTTTAATTAAAAAATAAATAAAACTTAGCGAAGATTTGGAAGAAATATTAAGGGTCCGTTTAGAAGGTATATTCAAACCATGATTCTTGATTCTCATGTTTGAAATTAAATATTTTGTGAAAAAAAAAATACCGTAGCAGAATCAATAATTTGAGTTTGAGTATATAAAATAAACGGGACTTAACTCAATTGATTAACTGGATTTATTTATGTTTATTATGCTTTTTCTTTTATTTCGTTTCTATTATTCGTCATCTCCATTTCTTTATTTTCTAAGAAACTGCCTTGTACTATAGTAAAGAAAAAGTTGTATTTAAATGTTTTATCTTTTTTTTTTTTAAAAAGTTTTTTTAATAGAACATAAAAAGTTTTTTTTTTTTTTTTTAAGGGAACATAAAAAGGTTTCTGTAACTAAATTTTTTTAAAAAATATAAATAAAAATAAACTATCTTGATCTCAGAGAATCACGCTACTATAAATGACAAAATTGGATACGGCCGAAAATAAATCCTTACTAATACACGTGAAGAGTAAGAATTTATTTA